AGTTTTCGAAATTAATTCACATGTGAATACCTCTATGAATTCTTTAGTCTTTTCAACTTGATTATCTTTACTATCATAATCTTGTAATAATTTTTCAATTTTTGAAACATGCTCTTTAAGAGTTTTTTGGCCAGAAATTAACTAATTGAGTTTTATTATGATACTCATATTTTGACTTATCAGTTTTTCTAATGATTTCCCTGAGCGTTCTTTATAACGATAAAATGAATTAATAAAATATCGCTTTTAAAATATAAATATTAATTAAATATATACCATTATCAGTTCTTTTTTCGGAATGCGACATTATTTTAAGATAACAAAAAAAGAAAAAAAAAATAATGATCTAAATACAAATTAAAGAAAAAGATGATTTCTTGAGTAGTATCTGGAGGATAATAGACAGGTGGCGGAATACACGATAAAACTTCATTAAGAGAAAGGAGTCCTATATAATGACAAATGAAAGCACAGTATTAAGTAAGTATTCGGTATTATATGATTATGACAGGGCAAACCATAGAAACGAGTAATAAATACTACGTCTACATGAATAACACGCGAGGCGAACAAACGTTAAACTATTTTATGATGGAACTTACTTTGATCGTTTATCTTAGCGACAATTTTTGTAACATTTTTGGCTGGCCCTAATCTTAAACCAACATCTGTCACAAGTTCATCTTTGTTTGTATAGAGGAATGCTGGACCATTAAACCCACTATTCTCGATATTTCCAAGTTCAGTGTTGTTAAGAGAAAAATAACTATTATTAGATTCTAAAAAATTTCTAACACCCGCTACGCTCCAACCTTGAACGGATTCGAATGATGGGACGTTTTTCATGTTAAAAAATATATAGTAGGACAAAGTGGGACAAATGTGCAGTCGAAGTTGTAACATTTCAGAAAAGAGCAAAAAAAAAGGTGGGTATAATTGTTTCTTATTGCATAATTTCGACCAATGATAAATTAGTAGGCACTTGGAAATAAATTTAAATCACTCGCGTAATTATAAAATTGCTTCTTTAAAACCGATCGTCGTATTTGATTTATTTTACTAATTCAAATTATGTTTTTTATTCCTATATTTCAAAAATAAACTATACTCATGAACCTAAACACTCCTTTCAAGGTTTATATATGTTGTAATAGAAAGGCAATATTATGGGATATTGAAGGTAAACTTTAACAGATAATTATTCATAAAGGAAATTTAAACTATAATGATTTTTAGGAACTTTATAACTCAACTTCAACACAGCGATTCGATTTTTACGCGAAAATTACCGAATCGTAGGATCCTTTATTGGATGTCTCCCACGATATCCATTACAAAACCAATTATTTGGGTTGCCTATGACATTGATGCCCGAAGAAGTAACTTTACTTCTTTCGAAAGGTGATGAATATATTTTAATGGGACTAAAGAATGTTTACCTAACTAAATTTTTTTTTTTTGTTTGTATAATAGGAATAATTGTTTTAGTTGATGATGCAAAAAGTCATCGATCACCTACGCAAGCGCAGATCGAAGAATCTGAACAAATGAGGTCACAAGAGGAGAAGAATCAGTTACAGGAATATATTAAATCTATAGAGAAGAAAAGATTAAAGATTGAATTCTTACGAAAAAATAATGATTCAGTTCAGCCGGATGACCCAAAAGAAAAAGATACATCAATTCAGCAAAAAAATCAAGAAGTTCAAGATCAGCAAGATTCTTTAGATCTTGAAAACTATACTTCGAAAATAAGTGGTTTTGCGCCAGTGATTAATATTCAAACAACTTCTTCATTTTCTTGGTATAATGATAATGGGAATTGTTATAGTTCCATCGATTTAGCAAAGCAAAACAATTTATGGGTTTGGCCGAACGTTCAAAAGGAAATACAGAAATACAAAGTGTATAGTGATTTATGGGATCGAGGATATTATATCACAAGCGGTATTAAATTTGGTGGCGATTATCTTTTATATCCTGGTAATTTAATATTAAATTTAATTAAAAAGCAAATGAATGGAACTTCTCTATTAATTTGAACCGTTAATAATATAATACAGGGGATCCACTAAGGTATCACAGTCATTTTATTGCTACTGTCCTTGATGTAGATAGAATTATATCTCCAATGGATATTATTACATTCGGTCGTCTAGGAACTGCCGTTAAAAAGTCATACATACTATGTTCTTGGGATCAGCATCAGGATAAAGCTGTATATCATAGTTTAGAATGGTCTGGATTTGGTTAATGTAAAAAAACTATTTTATTAAGTTTGTTTTAGGAGAAAAAATTATAAATTACATCCATTTTATAACCTCTAATATTAATTTTATGTAAATTTTTATTTAAACTGTTTAAATAAAAGTTGATTATCAGATGATAATGATTACTTCTTTGCTTTCATCTTTTAAATCTAAATTATAAATAATTACTTCATGATTTTGTTTATTTCAATTTTTTTTTACGTGAATAAACGCGGTGAAATATTCATTGCCATTAATTCTTGGAATAATAATTTACATGCATATGGGATATGAATTTGTGATATCTAATTTCATTAAATATATTAAAAAAAAAAAAAATTTGTAAATGGCATAAATTTCAGCAATTAGCATAATAAAAGACTGAAAAAAGAAAATCAACGGACCTGTGTAGTGTTTTTACAAGCTTTACATTCGAAAGTATTTTTCTTGAGATTCGCAATGGCCATTAATCCACATATATCACATACGTGAACACGATAAGCATCTGACGCGTCAAATAATCGTTCCTATAGTCGTTTACGTTTTAGAAATTAAATTGATAAAAAGATTAAAATCTAATTAAAGAATATTCTCTAATGGAAATTTTCTTTTAGATTATAAATCACCTTCAAAAACATGGCGGTTCCGTGAGATATCATACAGTCACGTTCCATTTCTCCGAAACGTAATCCACCATCACGACTACGACCTTCAACAGGTTGACGTGTTAAAATCTGTACAGGACCTCTCGCACGGGAACTACAATTATAAAATAGATTTAAATCAATATCTTATCAAATTTTAATAAAGATATACAGAATAGGATACGTACTGAATCTTATCGTCCACCATATGTTTTAACCTTTGATAATAAGTCGGTCCCAAGAAAACTTGTGCAGATAATTTACGTCCCGTATGTCCATTATACATTACCTCAAATCCTCTGGATTGATATCCTTGTGACCTTAAACTTTGAGAAATAGCTTCAACTGTCACATCTGTGAAAGGAGTCGCATCACCTTCCTGTCCTGTTAAAGTAGAAACCTTCAATAATTTATTGAAAATAATGTATTAATTTAAATTTTGAGTGGGTAAAATAAAACTAGTAAAGGTAATAGTACCTTCCCCAACAAACATTCAACCATATGCCCAATTGTCATACGACTTGGAATAGCGTGAGGATTGATAACAAGGTCTGGTGTAATCCCTTCAGCAGTAAAAGGCATATCTTCTTGACGATATGTGATGCCAATTGTTCCTTTTTGCCCATGTCTACTAGCAAATTTGTCTATAAAAATATATGTGTGAACACAAAATAAAAGTATCGCGAATTCATAAGGAATGACCATTTACCTCCCATCTGTGGTACTCGTGTGCTTCTAACTCTCACTTTAACAAATTTCATTCCCTCAGCATTTGTTGTAACCATAACTTGGTCAACAATACCGGTCTCAGTACTTCTCATTGGGGTAGAAGCGTCCCTTTGAACATGTGTCGATTTTCTTTGACCTAGCTCTACAGTCTCAGGAGAAATTGGAGTTACTTTTCCAATTATTATGTCATCACCAGACACTCTTGTTCCGGGGGCGATTAATCCGTCTTCTTCCAATTTTTCGTATGTTCCATGTTTAAGACGGAGAGTGGATTCTTTTGTCGGCTTTTCAAATTCTTCAATAGTTAACATTCCCTATAAATTGATACAATAATTATGTAATTATATATAATATATGTAAATGTATCTCCTTCATTTCATTTCTATTTCTACTTACAACTTTCTTTTCTTGATCCATATAACTTCTGTAGAAAATACTTCTAAATAATCCTCTATCAATACTACTTTGGTTCATAATAACAGAATCTTCTTGATTATAACCACTATAACAAAGAATAGCAACGATCGCATTTTGACCTGCTGGTAATTCACGAAATCTTAAAAATTCCATCGCTCTTGTTGTTACCAATGGTTTTTGTGGATAATATAAAATGTTTGCTAATGTGTCCATTCTTAATTGATAGTTTGTTACATAAATACCCATTGCTTGTTTACCCATAGCCGATTGATACGTATTACGAGGTGACTGAAAATTTAAAGAGGAATAAAAAAGGATTATAAAGATATTAACGTTTTAAAGTCTTTAAATTAAAATTTTACACTCACTTGGTTGTGATCAGGGAAAGGAATAATACTGGCACAAATTCCTAAAATCATGCTAGGATGAATTTCACAATGTGTCCAAGAATGTACTTTTAAATTTGTTTCACTTTTTACACGCGCTGCTACATCTCTTTCATGTGCCTTTTCTTGCTTTGTTTCACCAGTTTCATGGAATACCCTTGCAGCAGCTAAATCTTCTGGTGTCATGCAAATCATAACGGTTTCTTCTTCTTCGGCATCAATATATTCTATAACACTATTTGAAATCAAATCTTGCCATCCGAATGTCATTTTTTTCTTTTTTCGTCGTCTTCTAAATGGTTGCTCTGGATTATCCATATCATCATCTAAATCATCATCTGTATTATCCTCCTCTTCAAATAAATCGTCGTCTGATTCTTCAATTATCCCAGCTTGACGATTTTTCTATGGAAAGGTTAGATCAATATGGTCATTTTACAAAACAATTCACACAAAATTAAATTATAATTTACCATTTTATATACATCCAGTTTTTGAATAAGAGACTTTGTTATTTTTAAGCGCTCGTTTTCTACAATAAATAAAGGTCGACATACTCTCCCGGCATCGGTATAGATTCGTAACTCTCTTTCTCGAATATCTCTAACAACACTAACTTCAGGACTTACATCAACAGTTCTTCGTAGGCCTTTGAGAGTATATGATAATTGCTCAGGTGAAGATGATATTCCTGCCCATTTACCATTAACAAAAACTTTTGTATTGTCTTTAATATTTGCAGGGTCAAATTGTTGATTCAGGTTAATCATTCCATATTCTTCCAAAAAATCAATAATTGGTTTTGACGCGCTTCCGACAGAAATATATGACATTAAAGATAGATTCTTTACAAGACCACAAGCTTGTCCTTCAGGAGTCTCGGCAGGACATACCATACCCCAATGAGTATTATGTAATTGACGAGGTTTTGCGATTTTTCCATCTCTTCCCATTGGAGTATTACATCTTCTCAAATGAGATAAAGTGGAAGCGAAAGTATATCGGTTCAGCACTTGAGATACACCAGCTCTGGACTAGAATTTATGATTTTTTTTTTTTTTTTTCAATGTTGAATAATAATAATATCCATAGAAAGAAATATAATTCAAATATTTACCTGCATAGCCTTTTTTTGATCTCCCCAATTTCCAGTCGCAAGAGAATATTTTAGACCATTTGTGATCGTTTGTGCTTTGATCGCCAAGTTCAAGTTAAATTCCCGATTTGAATCGATGCACTTAAATTTACAAATAATGTATTTGGATTAATTCACAAATTTCCCAACAATATAAAACCTTGATTACATGACAAATATTACCAACTTTTCTTAAATATATTGAGACATCCTTTGTAAGCTTTTTGAATAACATACGAAATAGTGAAGCTAAAAGTGGGCCCGCCAAATCCATTCTTTTTTTTCCATAATGATCTCGATCATCTAGTTCACGACGTCCTAGAGCAGCTAGCAGAAGTCTATGAACCATATAACCAAGGAAAAATGCTTTACGTTTTTCGCATCCATATTCGGTTGAGACGTGTGGTAACAATTCTTTTTGAAGGATGTCTTTAGCATATCTAAAAAGAACACAAAAAAATCAATTAAATTAATAAACATAAAATGAAATGAGAAATTGGAAACATACATACTTTATACGTTTATCTCTTGTTGCTCCTGTGGTTGTACCTCTACGACCGATCCAATCGGCGGCGACCTGTTTAATAAATCATATTAAATACAAAACCTATACAAACGAACTAATGATCAAATCATTTAAGTTGATTAGTTACCTCCATACTTTGAACTGCAAATGCTTCTTCTATACATGGTTTTAATGCCTCCAACATTTGATGATCAGATTGATCATAACAAACATATTGTAGAAAATCTTGATCAGAAACAGCGCCAAGTGCCCGGAAAGCAATAACCACGGGTACATCCTTTTTGATATAAGGCATAGTAGCTTGTATAAATTGTCCAGTAGCCTATATTGAAAAAAAAATTTTTCATCAATGAATTAATACAATCTTATGTATCTTTTTTATTAACAAAAGGGTGAAATAAAGAGGAAAAAATTTACTCCTTTCTCAGCTGTTTTAGCCATAAGCTTAATCGTTAATGAACTGGCTAATTTTGATCCTTTTTCCATAGCACTTCTAATTTCAGCTGTATATGAAAATGGTGATGGTGGTGATTTTGTAAAAACATAAACAGTGTTTGTTGCCATTCTTTCTTGTGCAATCAACACCTTTTCAGAACCGTTGATGATAAAATAACCTCCCTATCGAATTCAAATAATAGAAAAGCACATTTTATTATAAAAATAAATAAATAAGATAAATAAAGTCAAAGAAAGATACATCATATCAATAGTAAAATGTAAACCTGATCATAAGGACATTCATTTAATGCATAAAGACTCTTGTCGTCTAAACCGTTCAGTACACAAAACGTTGATTTTAACATGACAGGAATCTTAAAACATGAATTAATTAATATAATATTTTTTTTTAATTAAAAAATTTAATATTATATAGAATTTACCTTTCCTACAAAAACTTTATCATAACTTTTTTCATCAGGATCATACTCTAAATCAGCTTCATCAAACATTTCATTTAGCGTCGCTTTCCCTCTATTTTCTGGTGCCTTAGGATCTGCCACCATCACCTCCTTTTTCATGTTAACGTAAAGAGGAGCAGCATATCTATATGATGCATACGTTTATTAGCAGCAAATTATGACATTTTTTTTCATAAATTTAAAACTCTAAACACATACGTTAAATTCCTAAGACGCGCTTCTTGTGGAAACATTGCTTGGACACTACCATCAGCTTCAGTCATGGTAGGCTTTGATAGGTAGACTTGTCCAAATCGAATATAAAATCGTCTCTATGAAGACATAGTATTGAATGTGAAATGATATTATTTCTCGAAAGGTTTTAAAAAAAAACGAGATAAAGAATAAATAATATGTATTAAACATACCGCCTTATCTCCTTCCCCTCCTTGATTTCCTGAAACCGTTTGCAACACAAGGTTCTTATTTTCATCAACAATTTCTTGCATAGTATTTTGCACAAATTCGTCGAATGAATCAAGTTGTTGTCGAACAAGTCCTTTGTCATGAAAAAATGAAGATATAACTGTCCAACAATCTTCTTGATTTATATCAGGTTGCAATTCAGGATCGGGTGGATAAATTTCTAAATTGATATCATAAATTTTTATAATGAATGTGCCATTTTTATACGATTTAAATAAAATTAAAAAATTTTTTCTTTACAATAATTACAGATCAAAGGAGAAAATTTTGTTTTAATTATTTTATTTATTTTAATAAGTTTTACAAGTGAATTGATCTTGTTTAATAAATATATTGTCCATATAAAAAGAACTATTTACTAGGAAGTAATATCTACACTACAAAAAAAATTAAATCTCTTTTCTGTTGTTGTCTTTATAAAAGATAAACAAAAAATAATAATAATAAAAATTCAGCAAACTTCAATATACCTTCTCCATCAAAGTCTTCATATTGCATCTGTTCCTCGTTATCAAATCCTTCCTGATCAAGCAGGTTTATGTCAATATATGATGAATACTCCATATTAAAGGTATATGCTATCAAAGAACAAGAGTTTTAAAACATTAAATATCTACGTCAAGCATAAACGTTGTTTATCATTGATCCAGGAATTTGGGAATTTCGCAAATCTTAATAATTCAGCCAATCAAATTTCAAAAATTTTTGACAAACTTTATTACTTGCAATGATAGAAAACAAATGATAACAAGTTCTTCATTTGCAAAAAATCGATCTAAAATTAATAAAATTATTCTAAATCAAAGACCGATCCTACACTTTTTCACGAATTCAACATATCATCGTATGTATTTAATTAAGATAATCACATTTTAGTAATTAGAAAAAGGAAAGGGTTTAGCTCCTATTATACCAAAAGTTTGACTAATGAGATCCTCAATTAAAGTGAAAGAGATAAAATGTTGTAAATAAATAATCAAAAGTTTTTATTGAGATATTTTAAGTTGATCTGTAATATTATAAGACTTTTCAAAGTCTTTAAAGAATGAGTATCTATCTATTCATATTTCATGCGATTGCTTAAAAACAAAGTGCTTATAAAGTAAGTAATTAGTAGATAAAATAAAGAATTTAATTTTGGTTAGATCTAAAAAAAATAATTGTGATAGTAAGGACAAAGACTAATATTCTATTAGCTGATATTATAAGCTAGTTTTTCATGTTGTATGAGTTTCATGAGATATTGTTTTAAATTATTTATGATATTAGACAATTTTTGTTATATTAAATAGCAAGTTCAAATAGGATCAGTATAACATCTAATATACAATAAGAATTATTAAAGGTTAATAATAAGTGACATTTCTTTAGAATTTCTATTATAAAAAGCATTTCTAAGAGGTTTTGAAATTTTTTTTTCTTAATTACTAATACTTTATAAGATATATTAGCACAATTAAAATTCATAATGATTACTCAATTGAGATTTTATATAATTAATTTAATTATAATACAATAATTGATATTTATATTGTTATTTTTATTTTAAAAAGAATTTTATTTATATAAAACATATATGACTTTTTTAAATAATCTATATTGAAATTTTGTATATATATTTATGTTACAAAGATCTGAAAATAGTTTTTCAAGATCCTAAAATAGGACAAACTTCTATTAATAAGAATAGTAAAGAGTAGATTTCTAACTGTATATAATTTGTGATAGAGATAGTATTAATAAAAAATTTTAACAATTAATATCAAATCTATTTTTAAAAGTCTTAAAAAGCTCTGAGTTACAAAATTTAATAGTATTAATGTGTAATTTTTGTAAATTACAACTATAATACCTGCCTAACTCTTTTTTGAAAAATTGTAGTTTTGTTAAAAGTATTTGTCTTTTTAATATTTTTATATAAATAATATAAAATTATTATATTTTTTAATGAATTTTAATTTAAGAAATTCAAATCAAGTTAAATATAATTTTGGTAATTAAGTAAAATAGTTTCATCATTTTAGTTTTATCAATTTTATCATATTAAGAAAGATAATCACTAACTATAACTATTAAACAAAGTATCTGAGTATTTATTTTTTTTAATTTCATAGTAATCTTTAACATTTTTATGAATTTACTTAAGACTATTTTCTAAGAAATGCTTATATTATTATTTAATTCACAATATTTCAAAGTTTATCAAATAATTATATTTCAAAATAAAGCTATTTATTCACAAAATAAAAAATAAAAAATAAAAAAAAAGGAAAATAAAGAAACAATATATTAAAAACTAAAATAAAAACGTGATAAATTCATTGCCTTTAAAAACTACTAAAACTAACTTGTCAAAATCCTGTCTTTTATATGATTTAAAAAGCTACCTATTTATATAAAATATTACGTAAAAAATAAACTGATATATTATAAAGTCTAATTTATCATATATATCTAATATATCAACTATATCAAATTAATTAACTATATATAATATATTAATTATACCAGATATATTAAATATATCAGAAATGTCAGACATATCAGATTTGTCAAATTTGTTAATTATTTATATTATATCTACTACATAATATTTATCTATTCATAATAAAGCTCTAAATCAAAACATATTAACCTATGATCTGATTTGATCTGATCTGAAAAATTCAGGTTATATAGACAAATTTCAGGTTAACATCTTGTTAGGTTAAACTTATGATCTAACCTGATAAAATTCAGGTTAACCAATCAAATAAAATAAAATAAAGTATTTAAAAAAAAATTTTTTTTTTGATCTATTTTTTTTTAAAACATTTTAATTTTATTTAATATATTTTTTTTTTATAATCTAATAAAGTTATTTGTATAATTACTTTATAATTTATTATAATCAAAAAGTTAAATTTTAAATTATAAACACTTATGTAATTACATTAACCAACAAATTAATTTTAATTTTTTTATCTGTTTGGTAATTTCAAAGAGTTATTTGAGCACTTTGATCAAAGAAAATTAACTTGATCATAAAATTGTTTAGCAGATTTGAAAATATATGTATATAAATTTTATTATAATTGAATTAATAATTGTAAAGTATTCCTTCAATGGTTTTCCTTCCAAATTTAGAAGGAATTTTACTTACATTTTAAAGTTAATTTTAAATATATTAAAAATTAGTTATTAAACTAATAATATTATTATAATAATATTTATGATGTTTTTTAAATAAAATCAAAAAAAAAATTATATTAATTAGTAACTTTTGCATTGATTTAAGTTCAAAGTTTTAAAAATATTTTAATCTAAGTATTTTCTTTATAAAAGCTAAAATTTTTAATTTTTATTTATTTTTATAATATTAAAAAAACTTTACAAAATATATAAATTTATATTTAAAACATTTATTTATATATTTAAATATTATTTATTTATAAAAAAATCATAAATTTAAAGTTGAAAATTTGTATATATTTAATATTTTAATTATTAAAAATAAAATTTTATTTAAAAATAATAGATTTATAATAAATTTTATAACATATTTTAACTAAAAAAAAAAAATTATAACTAAATTTAAATGAAAATTATTACCATTTAAGGGATAAATGTTTTTCATATTATATAATCTTACAAAATGTTTTTTATATGTTTTTTATTTGTTTAGTAATTTTAAAGAGCAATTTAAGCATTTTAGTCAAATAAAGTTAACTTTGATCACATAAGTAAAGTAGTTCAAATAGGTTTGAAAATATATGTATATAAATTTTTATTATAATTGGATTAATTATGCACATTTTTTGTAATTATATTAGCAATTATCTGACTTATAACTTGTTATCACTCTTGTCCTTATGTAAATAAATAAAGTTCGCAAAGTCTTTTGAAAAAAATTACATTTACACATCAAATAATAATGATAATACAATTACCTCTCAGTTCTAAAGTGTCATAGAAGCGCCTGATATGCCTGATGAATAAATTCTATGTTCGGGATTCGAAATTGTTGATCTTATTCATTCTGCTCAGAACGAACCTGCGAGAAATAATTCTGAATATCTGGTGAACTTTCACTAGAAAGCGCCTTCTGAAATTTGAAATCAATGTTCATAAATAAATCATGATGTTGCATTTCATAGATTGTGATAATCTCACCTTTTTGATTGAGTCGAGGCTCTTTCCGTTTCTTCTCGACCTCATTTTTCCGAAGTTATATGACAATTGTCGAAATTTTGTGTTGAACTTCCGGTCAGGTTGTTGAGTTGACTTATAGTACTTATAGTCCTTACCTAATTGACAAAATTATTAATTTATCCTTTATCATAGATTTTCATACTAGAAGAAGCCTACCCGCATATTCACACGAGCGCGATCCTCTCTTATCAAGTCTTTGTAAAATGCAGTCCAATTCTTAAAAAAAAAATTTTAAATTATTATACTTGCGAGAAACATTTTATAATAAATGTATGTATATCGAGTAAAAGACTAGCTCTCAATTAGTCAAATCCAATGAGTTACCTTCCATTTATCCAGGATTTCTTGTGCTTTTCCTCTATGTATCATGTCGAACTCAGCATACTGACGTGTATTTTCACTTTGGTTTTACATATTGGCAGTAATTCAGATAGCTTGTAGGCATACTTAGTTTTTATAACTAACTAGTTTGCTACCAAATCATCTATCCACTCAAACTTTTTTTTAGGTTTCAAAATCGTGTTGATTCTGAATTTGAGAAAATATTGGAGAAAATTGATAATCTTCCAGCTGATTATCCTAACCTTGTCACCCTTATGAGATCTTTTTTAATCCAATCCAGTACTTTCTTCCAATCGTTTTTCTCCATTTTATCATGATAATATTCTACCAGGTTATTACACGTCCAGTCTTCGATCTTGTTAGCATGATAAAAATCCATGAAGGCGGTCATTGGTTGAGTCATTCTTGAATATGAGAGTTGGAAAAAATTAGTTTTGATCTTGGATTACGCAAGATGAGATGGATTAAATGATGTCACTATTTTGTCATATGAAAAACACCATACCAAAGTCACGTGTATTGAGTCAAATCTATTTTTAGAAGCAGGGATGGGTTTCGAATATGGTCACCACAATTTACAGTCTAAAGCATGAGGAGGAGAAACTGAATGGTATCTACTTAACATCACGTCTGAACAACAGGCAAGCTGGGATTCTTAGTCTCCAGTCATGAACTCTTAGTTCCACATACTGTTGGGACTCTTAGTCTAACAAGGATGCTCTTACAGCAATGTGACGTTAGTGCAAGCTGGACTCTTAGTCTACAACTTTGCAAAAGCTGGACTTTTAGTCTACAGCTTTTCCTGATTAAGTACAAAAAATAAAAAAATGAAAATAATGGCATTTATTTATTTGATGTATTGCGAAATTTTATTAAAAAATGCTAGAGAAGCAATGAAATTTATGATGCTATCAAAGAGGGAGGAAGTAATCAAGTTATTTCTTGCTCTCTCACGTTTACAGAAAATATCTGTACTAACTACAAGATTCTCACCCTCATATTCTTTTACTACACTAGATTTCCGAAATAAATTATCCCACCCGAATTTTTGTCTATCTATATTCTTGAACCTACAGCATAAATTCGGGAGATTAGCAACTGAGGTAAAAAATAATACAAGACAAAATTACCGATTTACACGATTAATTTTCACATAATTCCATTCCGCCTCATATATAAGAAATTTATTGCTTAATTTTTCCGTGTTATCGCCAGTATGATACTACACAAAGTTTCGGAATGTGAAGATGCTTGTGCTATTTGTGCCATTTGATATACTGCACCAGACTTTTGCTGTGCCATTGCATGTGATGAGATTCATGTCACTAATTTGATTTTGAGAAACCCTAGTTTATATATTTGCCATTGTGCATTAGACTATGGTCTATTATATGTATTTTGGTGCTTTAATTATGAAAGAAAGAATGGCTTATTGGGTAATTATAATACTTCTATTAAATTTACCAATATTTACTTCATATATATTAAATTATTTTATATTTATAAGCTCATATCATACCAGTAACAGAAAAATTGAATTGGAATTATTGAAAACTATTTAGTATAATTCCTTTCTTAACCAGTTTTTTTCATGTACTCAAGACCACTAACATTTATCAGCTTGTTTACCTTTAATATCATCAAAAAAAACTACTGGTAGTCTTACAATTCAAGATGAATTTGATGAAATAAACTATCATGAATTTTTATCAATATTTAGAAACATGAAAGAAATAGCTAGAACAGATTCAGAATCCTTTTCATGTACTTTTCTTAATTCTAAAAGAATAAATACAGACCTATCAAAAGAAATATTAGATTTGTTAGTCAAATATTATTGCAATGCTTATGATAATAATTTCATAATTTTGTTAAACATTCATGTTATCAACCTAAAAGCTATACTAGTACTTTCAAAGGTGAATATATATGGGTAATTACGACTTAGATCTGAAGTTTTCAGATTATTATATTCAAAAAGACACATTCGATCGGCTAAAATTCTATCTCAATTTACACACATAAATACTAATAAAACTTATCTTAGACTTATTCAATATTATTTTGAGTATGCTGTGCATTTTTTGAAAGGATCTAAGAAACATTCTTTGGCATTTGTAAGGTGGTATCATCTGGCAAAATAATCATAATATTAGATTTTATTGTAAAGTTAATAATGATGATGGTTCTTGTAATATTAAATTATGGAAGAAAGTATTTTTTGAATGTAGTAGATATTGTATTATTTCAGTATACAATATATTAGATCAATTTATTGAAAGCTCTTTTATAATAGGCAAAAGAAATCCCTAAAAATAAATGTTAGTAATACCAATTAATAGAAAAATTTATTTTTAAAATTTCTAATAATATAATATAGTAATTTATATAATCAATAGAACATTTTTTATTTAGAATAATATTTACAAATATGATGAATTAATAAATGATTATTCTTAGTAATATTTTATTATTAACAATGTATATGCTTATGTGAACTAATATTTTACTGATAATTCTCTTTTAATATAACGATTTTTCCAAGTAGCATATTGGATAATATAATTTAACATATCAGATATTTTGATGATTTGCTGATGCTTCTAATGGTGAATAAGTAACTTATTTATTAATATTCAGAAAACTGATTTATCATTTAATATACATTAAGAATTATCAATATTTTATAAAGTAAAATTCTTAACTATCAGAATTCTGATTCTTTAGTAATAAAAAAAATAAGTGTTGGTTAAGAATTAAAATCTGATATGAAAACTGATTCCTAATTGACTCTTAATATACTAATTTTCATTATTCAATCTGTAAGACTTAGTATCACTATAGTGAGTAAGGAGAGTTGTTATATAATTTTGATTAAAAATAGTTAAAGTATATATAGTATTAGTTCAGAAAAGTATAATATTTTCTTTAAAATCCAGAAATATTTATTTTTTTCAGAGAATATAAAAGAAGTATATAGTAGATTGATAAGAAAATTACAAATAAATATATTCTTAATAGGTAGTATCTTTCTGCCATTTATTATATAAAATATTGGCAAAAGAATATTTAATTACTAATATATACTTAAACATATATGATATATATTAAATACTCAGGTAAATAAATTGTAAAAGAAAATTATTATATAAAAATTAGAAGAAGATTAAACTTTTCTAGATATATACTTGAATATGATATAAAACCTTCTTCAAGAGAAATAATATATAAATTATAAAAGAAAGGAAAAAAATGTAAAGTCTTCTGCATAATAATATTATATAAAAATAGCAAAAAACTTATTCTTAACAATATATATCTGAGAATGTTTTAGTATAAAGGCTTTCTTAAAAATATAGGAATTTTGCAAAGTTATATTATATAAATTACACTTTTCTAAAGCATGAACTTGTGTATAAGTATAAAGTCTTCTTTAAAAATATATGAGGCTTTCTGTAAAATTATATTATATAAAAATAACAGAAAGCAATATATACGAATTCATACCTTAGAAAAATATAATATTCTTCCATTTTTTTTATATAATATTATTAAAGAGAACTACACCTGATACATATCAAATGTATATCTATTGTTATATGATTCTATTAAATTGAAATATAAGAGTGATTTAATTGCTATTACGTGACTATAGTTGATCACGTACTAGGTTCAGTGCCTAAAATATATTAATACCCGGGTCTTATTTAGGATTCATTTATTAAGCTTCCGTGATAAATTAGTCATAACTAAATTGGAAAATCATTAGTATTTGTTCAATAATTAAATTTCGGCCCATTGCATCACTAATTGACATTTATGTATAAAGTTTTATCTTATTGGACTTATATTTTTTTAATTTATGCGTGCATTGGTAAAAAATTTTCATATTTCGGATTTATATTGCATAAAGACATCAAATTTTTGTGTGTAACTCTTGCCACCTATCCTATAGTAATTTTTTCGCAAAGGCTTATAAGATTTCATCTATAAAAGACAATGCTATTATAAACGATAAGCTATTAATTGATAAATTTATGAAATTTTCGAAACATTTCAACCCGAATCTGTTATTGTAAATTGATTAAATTAGAAAATATGTAATAATCAGCAGTAATAACAGTTAATATTAAAATATTTACTTTAAAAAGACAATTTCCAAATATCCAAGGTGTCAAAAAGCTTTCTCAAGGGGTCTTTGAATCCTTGTAGCTCTCTAGGAAGTGACGTTTCGAGTTGTTGTTTAATTTCTTCCGATCTTGATCTTCACATTTATGGAACTCACAATTACTTTCGTCTTTTAAAGCTATCAATAACTCAAATTCTTCAACAGAAATATCAACGTCAGATAAGACCTTCTTCAACTTTAAAATATTGTCCTTTTCAAATTTCCTGAAATCCACTTTTTTATAATTCCTCTTCCTGTGAATAGCAATGCTTACTGCAACCCATACTTTGTTACCTAATCTTTGTTGCACTTCTAAAACAAGAAGCGAGATAAAGTCCCTGTAAACAGCTAAAGCCTCTAAGTTTTCCAATTTCTTACAAACCACTTCTAAAAGGTCTAAAGTATCTGATGATACTTTTTTATGTTGATCCATTATTTCAAATAAACAATTGGTGTTATTGCTTAAATCTATTAAAGTATCTCCCCATTCACTATTAATCGCGTTTCCTTCAATCTCTTTTGTATGTGCTTTTGCAAATCAACCCTTGCTTTTAAAGGTCCTTCAATTTTTGAATTCCTATATTTTAGGTCATTCAGTTTTGTAAGGTACTCCATTGTTAAAAAAATAAATCTTACTAAAAGTTTGAGAGTTTGAGCGTTTGAAAGGGAATATCATCATATAAACCTTTTTGAATACATCATGGCATCGACTCTTACATAAATTTTGGTAGATATAGTGATGTAAAATAATATAGACAGCATAACAAAAAAAGAATATATGAAAAAAAATACAGTTTTATCATTACTCATTAGATTTTGATTCCTGACGAAATCTCAGGGTATTAATATATGATTTTAGGTTGTATGAATGGTCGGTATTTGACTAATTAAATAAAGCTCTATGATTTTCATTTTTTTTTTACTCCGCATTCAAAAATATCAGAAATGTCAGCCGGCTATACGTGTAAGTTCTAATTGCACGGTACTCAACTTACCTCCTTAATATTCTCTTTTTGATGCTTACTAACCAACCATCTATTTAGCCATTTATTCTTATATAAGAAATCGTAACGAGTAAGGGCAGTGACATATATTACCTAATATTTTTGGGGGTGTGGGGGTAACTGCAGGGTATTAGAAAATCTTAGGTTACACATACATTTAGGTATCACGTGATATTACTGGCTTAGATTTTGTAGATCATGTAATATAAGTGGCTTAGATTTATTAGCATTACTAGCACATACATAAATGTCACATTATAATTGTTATAAAAAAATCAATAAAATCATTCATTATCTGATAAACATTTCCTTAAATGTGTTTCGTCACAAAGATGTCATTTTCGCTGTGAAGGAAGAAGAGAGAAATCATCAAGAGTCACTGAATTTTGTCTAGGTTTTCCTTTGGGCCGTCCACAGCTAGCAGGATGCTTTGTTCGTTTATGGTTCGTCAAGTAAGTGAGAGTTGGGAAGTATTTATTACACTCAGAACAGCAAAGATGTGAATAGGTTGTTTGGTCAATGGACGGACAATGTGCATCATACTCAGGAATTTTCAAAAGATCATAGTATTCAAGAAGGTGTATAGAGTTTGTGAAGTTTGTGAAATGTCTGTCCCTGGCTTTTGTGACTGGAGGTAAAAAACCATTGTTTAACTGAAGAAAATCCATAGCCTCTTGTGCGCGAGTTGGTCCACAACAGCTTGTATCTATACATCTTTTAATATCAAGAGAATATTGACACAGGTTATAATGATCTTCAATCCATGACCACAGCACAAAACATTCTGGTGGTCATTTCCATTTTCTTGTTATTTCTTTTTTTGTTGTTTTTATGCTCCCACCTTTTCTTTTTCTTTTTCTGTACCTCCAAACTCCAGGTTTTCAAACGGATTGGCAAGTTCTTCGACATATCGTGCATTTACGCTTCTTTCAAAAATCAAATTGCGACGCCAAATATCACAAAGTACCTCTCCGGCATATCGAAAGTTTTGAAGAGCTAATTCCGGATTAATCACTTTACCTTGTATATCTAGATGCGTCCCAAAGTGATCAATTGGTAGAGTAATACCTGCCAATTTTCCGGATAGTGTTGCTATGCCCCTTTCAACAGGATTATACTTAGATTGTCCCAGTGCGTGTGTCTGTACAGTGAGGTAATCTAAATCAAATTTTCGAAAAAGCTAAATGTATTTTTTAATATTTAAATGTCTTGGATTCTCATCCGATCCCCCATCCACTAATAATATCCAGATAGGTCGAATTTCTCCGTCAGCCTTTAACGCATCATCATATTGAGGATCTAGAATGAGGCTTTTGAGGTCTTGCATATGCATGAATGAAGAAGTTCCAAGGGACCATTGACGACGTACAAAAATGGCAAGTTGTCCTGTTCTCAAATCATCATTTAATTCATTCGGTTTGATCATAAGGTAAACCGATGGAATTAACTTTTGCCCATATCCATCAGGAAAGTCATAATCGGCTACACGAACAGGCTTGTGAACTGACTGTAATATGCAGAATGTCCGACCTACAGCCGGTATTCCAAGACCTATCTTTGCCTTGTCATCTTGAGAAATGACAACAGATTTATCGGCAAAGACGGTGGCAAATTGCCTTGCACATTTAACAGACGTAAGACAGTAGTGACCATCAGGATGGTCCTGTGTTTCAGTATGTGAAACTCCAGCCACTGCGACCCAAGCCGGATGATGATGCGCTTTTGCAGCAATAGAATTGGATTGACGAAGCAACAGGTAATTATTCAATATTGTTCGCGCCATGTATACATTGTAATTCTCTTCAAGATTCTTGCGTAAATTTTTGATAATTCGCACCTTAACAACTTCTTTCCTTCATTTTTCATCAGCTGCTCCAAATTCAATTGAATCATGAATATGATCATGTAAATTCGGATGCTTGAAAAGAAGTGGAGGACGGCCAGGTTTATCATACTGTACCACTTCCTGATTTTTGATAAGTGCTTTCTTTCTTTTTTCTTTGCATCTTTGAGTAT